TGTTTTTAGAGTTATGCAGTCACGTCTTGGGCAGCTCCTTCAAAACTCTTAATACAGTTCAGAGAGGAAATTGTTCACCTGACCTCACCTGTTCACCTGTTCACCTGTTCGAGGCTGGTTATCGTCCTTCCGCAGTAAAGTGATATATATATTTTTTTTTCTCTTTTCAGCTGATACTTTCAGAAGCTGGTGAGATATGTAAGGATCTTCAAGTTTGTTTACATAATTCTAGCATTGAAGATTCTTCTCAGAGTTACGTCACGTCACGTTATAGAGTTATGTATAGGATTCAATATTATGTTTTAGACGTGAATGCACTTTTTTCATAACTATTGTTCTGAATGCCGCTATTTCATTGCTATGAATGCAGTGTTTCATAGTTATTTTGAATGCAGTTTTTTTCATAGCTATTATTTTGAGTGCAGTTTTTCATTATTGTTTTGAAAGCAGTTTTTTATTACTATTTTGAATTTGAGTTATGCAAGTTTTTACATAACTATTGTTTTCAATAAAGTTTAGACATATTTTGATAAATCATTGCTTGAATATTATAAGACACATTCCCCAAAAATTAATGTCTTCCAATTCAGGACGATAAAGACATCATTTGTATTTTCACTCTGACGATGTAGCTTCGTTAACAATTAACTTTACTGAATCAAAAATAAATTCACATTATAATTCACAATACAAAAATGGTTCAATCCTATTTGTGTTAAATTTGTTAAGTATAATACAAGCTTTTCCACTGATGCTGGATTTTTCAAAGTCAAGATTACACAATTATAATTCAAAGAGTTTGTAGTTCATATTTACGTATATGTTTGATGTTCTTTTATGAAGAAAGTACATATTTTCTTTTATGAAGAAAGTACATCTTTTCTTTTATGAAGAAAGTACATCTTTTCATTTATGAAGAAAGTACATCTTTTCTTTTATGAAGAAAGTACATCTTTTCCTTTATGAAGAAAGTACATCTTTTCTTTTATGAAGAAAGTGTTTATCTGCTTTCGACAGAAAGCAGATAAACAGGTATAAAACACATTCCCCCTTCACAGTCGTATCTCTAACTGTGCTATCTCTCACAGTCTCTTATCTTCCTCTCTCGCGGCCGCAGTAGCATCTCTCTCTCTCTCTCTCCGTTTCTCTCCAACCAAGACCTAATATTTTTTTATCTCACTGGGAACGTTTTGGTCGTCGAAAAGGAAAATATTTCGTCAATAAACTTCCGAATCGTATCAGCGACGCCCCGGGGACCAACACCGGTGCTCTCGCCTCAGGTAACAGCAAAATTGAAGCTCCTTCACGTTATTAATTAACAGGTAGCATGTAACGTGATTCTCTCGCTCAGATATAATTAAGATTCCATCTGTAGTCACTTGTGTCTTGAGTATCTCGGTTATTTCCCCCCACAAATGATTATTTTTCTGGAACAACGTTGGTCTGTTTGTTGGTAGATATTGTTATTAATTTTTGCACGATTTCAATATTTGTCACTTCGTTAAAAATGCAACAGTTCTGCCTAACCGGAAGCGTACCAATCCATTCAACTCACATGTAACCTTTCGATGTCATTGCAGAGGAAATGTCAATATTACAGAGCCTTAAATTTTTGACTAAACATCACAGTTTTAAACGGTTTGATCGATTCCGTAAGAAAAACGCGTCGATATAAGGTGAGAGGAAGAGCTGTAATGACTCTTGCGTGGTAAGAGTCTATATTTAGTTTTAATTCATATATAATTCATAGGTTTTAAGCATATATATATATATATATATATATATATATATATATATATATATATATATATATATATATATATATATATATGTGCAGGCGATGATCACAATAACGTGGCTGAAGCATGTTGACCAATCCACACACTAGAAGATGAAGGGACGACGACGTTTCGGTCTGTCCTGGACCATTCTCAAGTCGATTGACGGCTTGAGATTTGAGAATGAGACTCACGATCGACTTGAGAATGGTCCAGGACGGACCGAAACGTCGTCGTCCCTTCATTTTCTAGTGTGTGGTTTGGTCAACATATATATATATCCCTGTGCTTGGTTTAACCTATCACACCTATTAACCTATTACCTATTAATCTATTAACTATAGGTTAACCTATTAACCTATTACCTATTAACCTATTAACCTATTAACCTATTAACTCCTCAGTTTAACTCTTCACCATACAAGTACTATTTCCCACCACCCAGCGTGGCTAGACCCGTCCCTGGATAGCTCACCCTTTTATATACCTGATAGATATAAGAGAATAACATTTTGCTCAAACTTTTAAACAAAATCCAACAGTGGACAATAACAATACATATAGTTCACAATTTGTATATCCATATCTGTCAAAAGACAATATACTGTATATTCGAAAATGAAATAAACATTTGCGATGTGCAGTTTCAATCCTCAAATTGATTATATTATATATAATATTATATATATATATATATATATATATATATATATATATATATATAGTTATATATATTAGTTATATATATATATATATATATATATATATATATATATATATAATATATTATGAACGTTATTTCGCTATGTAAATCCCTGAATAGACAAACAAATTTCATCACAGAAATAGTGTTGCCACGCTCAGAAGCATGACAAAGTACTCGGCCACACAGCAGCTCAGGCTGGAGGCGGCCGTCGGAGCCCCAGGAGCAGCCGGGGGCGCTGAGCCGGACCTCCCCTGGAGGTGCTGAGCCGAACCTCCCCTGGGGGGCGCTGGCGGGGGATTTAAGGCCAAATGGGGTGACAGGGTAAACAATGCAGCTTGATAAAGGAGGAGTAATGATGGAGTCATATTGGGGGGGGGTTAATGCCAGAGCCCTGGAGGGCAAGGTCAGAGCCCTAGAGGGCCAGGCCAGAGCCCTGGAGGGCCAGGCCAGAGCCCTAGAGGGCCAGGCCAGAGCCCTAGAGGGCCAGGCCAGAGCCCTAGAGGGCCAGGTCAGAGCCCTAGAGGGCCAGGGCAGAGCCCTAGAGGGCCAGGGCAGAGCCCTAGAGGGCCAGGGCAGAGCCCTAGAGGGCCAGGGCAGAGCCCTGGAGGCCAGGCCAGGGCCCTGGAGGCCAGGCCAGGGCCCTGGAGGCCAGGCCAGGGCCCTGGAGGCCAGGCCAGGGCCCTGGAGGCCAGGGGCCAGGGCCCTGGAGGCCAGGCCAGGGCCCTGGAGGCCAGGCCAGGGCCCTGGAGGCCAGGCCAGGGCCCTGGAGGCCAGGCCAGGGCCCTGGAGGCCAGGCCAGGGCCCTGGAGGCCAGGCCAGGGCCCTGGAGGCCAGGCCAGGGCCCTGGAGAGGTGGGAAGGAAGGCTCAAATCAGATCACGTGTTTAAAAACAAATATTAAAACATAAATCAAGATGAAATGGAAATAATAACAGATAGAGGAGTAAAGATAGAGTATAGTAAATAACATAAAGACGCAAGCACGGTTATATATACAAATATACATACGGTCTATGTACACATACATAGACGTACGTATACACATATATACATACGGTCTACTCATTACCAGGTGAGTACAGAAACAAACAGGAATATAGGAACCGTTCAAAACCACCTTTTCACTTAACTCATAAAAAAAATCCAACTTAACGCTTAAAACATTCCATCAATCACAATAAGTTAGACACCCCCACCTCACCCATGTACACCAGAAAGGGAAACCCAAGAGCTGAAGCCCAATCACCCCCACAAGCATAGTTAGAGGTCTGGTTGAAGATTGCATACGTGAACATTTTAAATTATCGCTTTGCCTCAGGGGATGAATTGTAATCAATTGATGTGGGTTAAGTGTCATGGGAGGATGAGACCTGATGAGTCCATTTGTCGATGAATATGATGAATATTGACTCGTTATAATGCAGCTGAATATGCAGGCTCGCTCGCTTAATATAGGCGAGTATGGTAGCTCGCTTAATGCAGCTGAGTATGATGGCTCGTGCATTGCATTATTTGTAAACTAAAAAATACAACACACAATTTGTCATTTGTCCACTGGTTGCAGCTGGACAACTGTATTCGGCGTATACATATACATATACATATTATACTGCGTATAATCGTATACATCAGATTAAAACGTATATGACTCTCCTCTTACCTGCACATTTGACCAACCTATCTCCACATACATTCATACATATACGAAAGTATTCGTACATGTATATATCAATACATCATCTCGAGATAGTTCACGTTCACACAAACCAGATGATCTAATAATTAATAAAAGTCGAAAAGGAATGGTGCTCAACCACTTATGGACGGTCGGGGATTGAACGCCGACCTGCAAGCGTTGCTGAGAGTTGTATTACAGTCTTCTCTCTGGTGTGGGTCAAAGTTCCTGACATAAATTTCACAAATACACAAGTGTGAGCTATTTCCTATTACTATTTAATGCTATTATTGTGTTGATAGTGGTGAGAACGTATAGGAATTCTCCTACTACTTTTACAGACGTAGTGGAATATGTTGTCATCTATTTACCTGAATTTACCTGAGGGCCACCAATTTGCTAGTGCTAAACGAGGTCAGGAAGCTGGCGGCTTGTTAGTGTCCATCTCCTCCCTAATCTTTCCTGATTTTTCGAAATTGGATTTAGAATTGCACTAATGTCTTGGCATTTATGACTTCGATGGGTATAGGCTGTTTAATGGGTTCTATTACCCTATAAGTGAAGAAACATCACTTGTTTTCTGTCCTAAATTGTTACCTGTTGATCTTGAAGATGTTGTTCCTTGTAAGTGAACAACACATCACTTTTAAAAGATGTGGTCTGGATGAATACGTTGTAATGCGTTTAGTATATTACAATTTCTACGAGATCCGCCCTGGCATGTGTGGTTTGTAGTGTTCACAGCCCCGAGGCCCTCAACTTTTCCTGGTATGAGAGTCGAAGTAATTCTGAGAGGAATTTTGTTGCTCTGAGTTAAACTTTCTCTAACGCAAATTCTGAAGATGAGGTCTCCATGCTTGAGATCCATCCCATCGCCAAGCATTACATCCCAGTCCCCCAGCATCACATCCCAGCGCCCAGCAGCACATCCCAGCCCCCCAGCATCACATCCCAGCCCCCCAGCATCACCACCCAGAGCCCAGCATCACATCCCAGCGCCCAGCATCACATCCCAGCATCACTTCCCAGCCCCCAGCATCACATCCCAGCCCTCAGCATCACATCCCAGCCCCCAGCATCACATCCCAGCGCCCAGCATCACTTCCCAGCCCCCAGCATCACATCCCAGCCCCTCAGCATCACATCCCAGCCCCCCAGCATCACATCCCAGCCCCCAGCATCACATCCCAGCCCTCAGCATCACATCCCAGCCCCCAGCATCACATCCCCAGCCCCCAGCATCACATCCCAGCCCCCCAGCATCACATCCCAGCCCCTCAGCATCACATCCCAGCCCTCAGCATCACATCCCCAGCCCCCAGCATCACATCCCAGCCCCCAGCATCACATCCCAGCCCCTCAGCATCACATCCCAGCCCCCAGCATCACATCCCAGCCCCTCAGCATCACATCCCAGCCCCCAGCATCACATCCCAGCCCCCAGCATCACATCCCAGCCCCTCAGCATCACATCCCAACCCCCAGCATCACATCCCCAGCCCCCAGCATCACATCCCAGCTCCTCAGCATCACATCCCAGCCCCCCAGCATCACATCCCAGCCCCCAGCATCACATCCCAGCCCCTCAGCATCACATCCCAGCCCCCAGCATCACATCCCAGCGCCCAGCAGCACATCCCAGCCCCCAGCATCACATCCCAGCCCCTCAGCAGCACATCCCAGCCCCTCAGCAGCACATTCCAGCCCCCAGCATCACATCCCAGCCCTCAGCATCACATCCCAGCCCCCAGCATCACATCCCCAGCCCCCAGCATCACATCCCAGCCCCCCAGCATCACATCCCAGCCCCTCAGCATCACATCCCAGCCCCCAGCATCACATCCCAGCCCCCCAGCATCACATCCCAGCCCCCAGCATCACATCCCAGCCCCCAGCATCTGTCCTTCGTTACCTGTTGATTCCACCACACAAGACAACTCCTTACAAACTCCATCCTCTGTATATCCCTTTTCTCAACCTCTTACAAGTCGACATGTTTTCCCAGAACTCCTCCGCGGCCCTTGTCGTTGTCTTCTTTCCAGCAACATTTTCTTCCGCTCGTTCCTCAGCACATCGCTGCTTTTGTCTGTCTGTGTCTGTCTGTCTGGCTCTACTTTTCCTTTCAACTTTGACGAAGGCTTATTAGGACTGGTGTTAGTGCTCCCGGATGAAACTGAAAGGTAAGAGCAGTTATCAGCACGCTCTCTCTCTCTCTCTCTCTCTCTCTCTCTCTCTCTCTCTCTCTCTCTCTCTCTCTCTCTCTCTCTCTCTCTCTCTCTCTCTTTCTCTCACTCTCTCTCTCTCTCTCTCTCTCTCTCTCTCTCTCTCTCTTCTCTCTCTCTCTCTCTCTCTCTCTCTCTTCTCTCTCTCTCTCTCTCTCTCTCTCTTTTTTTCTCTCTCTCTCTTTTTTCTTCTCACTCTCTCTCTCCTCTCTCTTTCTCTCCTCTCTCTCCTCTCTCTCTCTCTTCTCTCTCTCTCTCTCTTTCTCTCACTCTCTCTCTCTCTCTCTCTCTCTCTCTCTCTCTCTCTCTCTCTCTCTCTCTCTCTCTCTCTCTCTCTCTCTCTCTCTCTCTCTCTCTTTTTTTTTCTCTCTCTCTCTCTTTTTCTCTCACTCTCTCTATCCTCTCTCTTTCTCTCTCTCTCTCTCTCTCTCTCCTCTCTCTACCACAAACACCACCAGTTCCCTCACAACAGTCCCTCCCCCCTTCACCTCCACCCCCCCCCCTCCTCACTATCTTTCATTTGGGCTTTGCGATTGTCTCCTCTAATGCAGAGTGCAATTCATCTAATGCCTCATTCAACACCACCAAACAAAAGCCGCTCCCAGCAGGGCTGTGGAGGCTGCACCCTGACAACGATATATCCAACATAGGTACATCCTCATCTCCCAGAGACAGATCTCAAAACTGATGCTGGAAGAGCAGACGTAGTGGATGAATAGAGTGGATGGGAAACAGGCAGAAAATCGACGAAAAACAGCGATATAAAGGGAGAAAGGAAGGAATGTAATGAGATGGGTGAAATTGGGATATTAGAAAAAGATTAGTGTGAAAAGAAGCGTTTTATCCCAACTACTCAAAGTTTGAAGATAGTTTGAAGTTGGCAGCCACAATACAAGGCGCTCAGCCATCAAAATCACTCAATCAGCGATCGTTCACTTCTATCCTGAACGTGTAGATACTAGTGAAATCAATTGAACAAACCACATGAAGGCTCTGGTACCCCATTATCTCTAGCTTCACTCAAATACCTTGCATGACTCTAACCTAATATTCAATTTCATCAATAACAAAAAACTAATATTAATATTATTAAATAGATCAGTGTCAAAGACCAGGGTTAAGATGAACTGATGAATGATAACAGGACTTAGCTTGCAGTTTAACTAGGAATATCAGCACCACTCCTATTGAACCCTATCTTGAGGTTATCTTGAGACGATTTCAAGGATTTGCGTCCCCGCGGACCGATCCTCGACCAGGCCTCCTTTTTGTTATACACACCCCCAGGAAGCAGCCCGTAGCAGCTGTCTAACTCCCAGGTACCTATTTACTGTACCTATATTAGGTAGCTGTTTACTCCTAGTCTAAGTTTAAAGAAAATGAGACAGGAGAGAACTATGAAGTTAAGAGTTGGAAAAAATGAGAAGGAGAGAGAGAGAGAGAGAAATAAAGGAAAAGTCTTTGAAAAAAAAACTAAATTTTCACACAGTATTTAAACCTTCGTAGTCACTTGAATTCTCCAGGTTCCTGGCTTCCCATGTCGGATCCGATGCTCTATTAAAAATAAAAAATAAAATATCTAACCTGCATTTTTGTTTTTCAATGGAAATTCTGGCGGGAAGACAAAGAGTAAGACGATAGCCAGGTTTCTTCTTTGGTAAACTATCCAGTTTCCTTTCATCTCAGAGCCTTTTCTCCAGACACTAATTACTGCCTAGAATTTGACGACAATAGAAACTTACTTTCTTCCTTCGCGGCTTTATCAATAGATACTTTGGAACAGGAGCATAAAAGAGAGGAAAAAAAAAGAGTCAGGATGTAGTGGCTTGACTAGAAAACGAAAAATGAAAAGAAGGGAAGATTTAGGAGAAAAACAGAAAGGAGAATGGAAAGAGAGGAATAAGATAAATAAAAACCAGACAAATAATAATCTGGAAATATATAAACAAGAGAAACGAGGTAATGAGCAAAACAAACTTAAAAGGAGACAGCAAAGAAGGGAGGAACAGGGGGTAAGAGTGAATGAAAACAGGAGAAAATCACAAAATGTAAAGACCAGAAAGCGCTTAATTCACATAGGAATCTCTCATGCAAATCACGTCGACTGCCTGAAATCGAGAATATTGTTGACAATTTGCGTCTGGGTGTCGCATGGGGACCGTCTGAGTGCTGAGAATAATGGTATGAACCAAGGAATGGATTGTACACGTGAGATCATTCAACTAACAATTGCATTTTACTCTCATCGGATGAGAAGGGATATACACACGTATACATGCATACTCGAAAACACTTATCTAAAACACTTGAGAAGGGTATGAGGAACCTAAACCACACTACACTGTAAAGACAGGACATGAGGTGACATGATCACGACATATAAGACTCCTAGAGGGGCATTAAAAATGAGCACATAATCATAGTTTCA